GGAATCATAAAAATTTACATCATGTTAATTAGTAGAGGTGATAAACATTACCACTGAAATCTACCTGATGACTTTATATCCATACTCAGGTGCCAATGATCCAAGTGTTACTGACTGTGACTAGTAATAATCAGATACATAGAGATTAGAGATTCATATGCAAACATCTAAGTGTTAGTGGCATTAAAAATGAGTTTTTCTGTAGGAAATAGTATACTTTAAAATGAAATGGAGATCTTTTTTAAAGGTTAAAACCTCATTCAATTTTATGTCTTATAGTGTTTATACTGAGTAATGTATAACTGTATTAATTCAACTGTAAACCTAAAAAATTACAGCCAATTTGGAAAGAGATACATCTTAGCTCTTGAAATTGTTATTGAATATGTCAATGCTGTTGTAATGAAATGCTTCTTCTAATTATGTGGCTATTAAATAAATAATTTTAAAAAGTAAAATTAAATAATTTAGCTGAAAAAAAAAAGACTAGAAGGTAGGAATTGGCTAAGCAATTAGGGTAAAAAGACCAAAGAAAAGTAGCCAGTTTCTTGGCTAAAAGTCAAAATGTCCTTGGGCCTCTTAGCAACGTACTCTGTTCCAAAGGCCAAAAATGTCAAAAATATTTGTGAACTCAAAGAAAGGGAAGAAATACTATTGTGTTTAGCAACCAAAAATATAATTGCCAAGTCATTTAATATGGTGTCAGAAAATAACTATGTAAAACAAGGCATGTAAACATATTACTAAGCTAATATGTAACATAATACTTAAGCATTACCTGCTTAAGTTTAATTGCAGATAATATTTTCTCCATAACAGCATCCTGAGTAGAAGTGCCGTTGTTGGTGATGTAGGCTTTACATGCAGATATCATCTGATTTGTCACCTGGAATTTTTCCAATAAAGTACCATTAGGTTCATAAAAAATATTTTTGTCAACTTTCATCTATAGCAATCTAAGAACGATGAAAAGAATATGAGAGGACTGCACAGTTTATATGCAAAACTATGTCTTTTATATAAAGGACATGAGCATACATGGTGTTTTGACTCTGATGTTGGGAGATGGGTGTCTACATGGCTATGGTGCACTATCAGCCAGACTTCATGCTGCAACAAAACACAAGAACATGACAACTTAGAGGTGGAAGGACTTCTTTCAGCTTCTGGGCTCAGAGGACGCAGTTCATGGCTGGTTGATTCCACTATTTGGAGGACATCATGAGGCAGAACATCATGGTGAAAGGATATGATGGAGCAAAGTTGCTCAGCTCGTGGTGGCCAGGAAGTGGAAAAAGAGAGGAAATGTCCAAGGCAAGAAATAACCCTCAAAGATGCCATTCCCCCCTTGACCTACTTCCTGCAACTAAGCCCAACCTTCCACAGTTCCACAGTCTACAGGTAATCTACTCGAAGTTTGAATCCTTGGATAGATTAAGTCATTGATGAAGGCAGATCCCTCATTATCCAGTCACCTCTCAAAAGCCTCATTTTTTATTCTTTTGAGACAGGGTCTCCCTGTAGCTCTAGCTGGCCTGGAACCCACTATGTAGACCAGGCTTACCTCAATCTTATAGGGCTCCACCTGCCTCCAGCTCCTGAGCACTGGGATTAAAGGCATACACTACCACATCCGGCTTAAAAAGCCTTACTTTTGAATGCTGTTTGCACCAGGGACCAAGCCTTCCATTCATAAGCCTTTAGGGAGGAGGAGGATATTTTATATCCAAATTATAGCATGAGCAGTGTCTTCTTATTGGATATCAGCGATGCTACTAAGGGAAAAATAAGTGCATCTTAGAGTCAATGAAATGCAGGGCATCTTAAATCTGTATATCTATATTCTTGTTCATTCTAATGTTATTAAGAATCTTGTGTTATGAATTCAATTCATCATGCAAAACCCCAGGATATTTAGGGTTCCAGACATTCAGGCTTGCATAGTAGCTAGTATTAATTACCACATGTCACCAACACATGAATGCAATGTGTTTCCTGATGAATGATGCAATGAACAGACTTCAGTTCTTTGTCATTGTGAAATGTGGCCATAGTGGTTTTAATTCATTGGTAAGCATGACTTTAAGATGTCCCATCACAGAACTTCTGTCTGGTCATGTTTACTAATTTGAAGTTTCCACAGTAAAATATCAAGGCTTTTTGTAGCACACAAAAATAAGTCATCTTTTGATAGTCAGTGTATCATGAGTACCATTTAAGTGGACTCATTGTATGAAACTGTTTATCAATACCACAAGTCAATATCATTAACTGGCTATAATTATTATTTACGTTATCTATGTCTAAGTAGGTAATTTTTGTCCACCAAGTTCTCAGTCATATTAAATATCCTCAGCAACTATATATCTGGCTAGAATAGATTTTCAAATTTTGACTGAAATAATTTTTCTTTCATTCATACACATTTTTTGGAAAACACATCTTTTTCACAATAGTATCATTTATTTATTTTCAATGAAAATTATGGCTCTTTCTCTTTGTTAATTTAGTTGTCAACATATATCTTTTACACATAGAAATTGTTCTCTAACTGACTTTATAATATCTTTCGTTGTATTTTCATTGCATCTAACATTAATTCTACTCTTCCTCTAATTAAATACTTTTTTCCTTTTGTTCTTACTCCTGAATTAATATCTCAGTAATATCTTCCAATCTTTCTTTTTTCCTATAGTATCTAATACACTGTCTAATTCATTGTCTTTCATTCTGTTTTTTAATCATCAGTTAAATTTCCAAGTGTCTTTGGTCTATTTAATGGCATTCTCTTTTTGGAGAACCAATGTTCTCTAATATTGTTACAAAAATATAAGTGAGATTTGTTCTAATATTTCCTGTGTTAATAAAGTTTTTCACCAACAGATGGACATTGAATCTGTCTTCATAATGCTGCTTTTATTTTGAGCTGTGTTCACAAACTCATTATTTTTTCTTATTTGCTAAACATTGAAATAAAATACGAGAAAACTACATTTCTTCAAAGCTGTGCTGGTTCTTGATAGATATTGGAAGGGTCGGACCTTACAGGACTTAATGAAGGAAGATGGGCTAGCTTTTAAATGACTCTCACTCTGTGTTTCTGATTAGAGACATGTGAGCAGAAGTCTGACTGCTGATCATCGTGCTATAACTGTCTGAAAGTGACATAGCTTGACATTAATGAGGTGATGGCCTCATCATCCAATTGGATGACTGAATTCTGCAGTAGGACCCCCAGTTTATTCAATGAGTCACTAGGGTAAGTGGAAGCCAAGTATAAGTGTATGTATCTCTATTTCTTGTAGGCTACAGAACCTGACAGCCTTTCACAGGCTCTGAACCCACAGACACTTTTCATCTTCAACCCTTGACACATCAGTTAGGGATAGATCACAGCATTCTAGGAGAGAGACCTTATCATTGCCCTAAAAAAATAAAAACTGGATTTTTCTATGAATTCTAAGTTATTATACCAACTGGGAGGCAATTTACTTTACAACAATACACTATTAGTAATTTAAGTTAGCTTTATTTACAAACTAGGAAGTGATAAGCTATCATTTGAAACACTGTCATTTCAGTCTACATTTCAGGGTGTGTGTTTAAGACATAGTTTTAACCAGGAATTGCTGTCTTTGGAGATGGTCTAGAAGCTGAATTATCCTTGAAAACAATGACTGCCAACTTACCAATGAGCATAAATAGCATCACATAGAAATTAATTGATCATAAATATTTATTTCATAGGTCCTATAATACTTTCACAAATAAACACTTGAATTATAAGCCTAGTGGCAGGATGTCATTGTTAAGTTAGAGTGCCCCAAGCACTGTGAATATGCTGAGGCTGCATCAGTGAGAGGATGAACAGTTTCAACCTTCATGGTTTCAGAGGAACTGGTATATAAAGTAGACAATTAGATCATCATATAAGAATTGTTTCCAAGGAACAGATAGACAGTATCATAAGACCAGGTAAGGCACACCTAAATCCAACTGGGAAAAGTGAGTGGAGAATTGGCAAAAGAGACTTCCTGTAGGAAGTGAGGTCTAACGGATGAGTCAGAAATATCCAATCAGAGAGAACATATAGGAATCTATACATGTATCTGAAAGAGAACAGGTAACACCATTACCTGTTAACTCATTAGTGCTGAGTGGTTATGTGATTAACAGAGGTGTGTCAAATGAATATGTGATAAGAAAATGAGATCAAAGAGAAAATACATCATCAACTATAAGTTCAGGTTGCTGGCAGATAAGGCAAGGGCAGACTTGATAGCCATGAGAGATACAGAACCATCACATACACCCCAAGTGCCTAAGAGAAAACCTACTACATGATTAAGTGATGAACATCAATGAAAGAATAAACATGCCCTTGTATAATTGAGTTGGCATGGATCCTGTGCTCAATACCACCATTGCCACAAGTTCACATGTACAAGCTTCCTGTGGCCTGAAAGCCTCTGTTTCCCTACATTCATGAACCAGCTCTGGCTCTTACAATCTGGCTCTTACCCCCTATTCCTCAATGGTCCCTGAGCCATGAGTGGGCAAGTTTCAATATACGAGTCCTATCCAAGGATACACATTCTGCAGCCATAACATGTATGGCGGAACACATGGGGTCCAGTGGGGGGATGGGGGACATTGATGGGGAGGGGTCTAAATTTGATTAAGAATCGTATGAAATTACAAAAGCTCAATTAAAAATTTTTAATTAAAAAAAAGAATGGACATGCAAAGATTTAGACCACATTAGGAAGCTCAAACCTCATCCTAAAGCAATGCAAAGTTAATAGATGACGATGAGCCTGTGTAGAGACATCTAATTTTCCAAATCTTCCAAGAAATGTTCCTCTGATAGGAACTGTCTTCCTGCATGGCTAGAGGTTCCCTTGCCCTCTTTGCCCCGCCTGCTTACGTGCCAAGAGCACTGAACAGGAAGAAGTGTTTGCTCAGAGATGCTGCCAGGTCAGACGCTGTGAACAAGAACGTTACCCAGGCAAGAGCATAGTCTCAGGAGACAAGGCATCCAGCCCAACACACCAAGCATTGAGCTATCAAAAAGACTCTCATCTGCAGGCCAGGGAGAAATCAGGTAAGTCTGTCTGTCTGTCTGTCTGTCTGTCCTCTCTGCCCAGACTGTTGGCTCTTTCTCAGTGCCAGGACCTTCACTCAAGCCTATTCATATTTTATCTACCTTAACATATTGAAGAGTTGAGAGTTCTACGACAGAAGTCAGCATTGCCAAGACTAGCGAGGGTCATTCAAGGCAGCATACTTGAGCCACAGGTTTACTCAGTAGACAGAGTGTATGAGGACACAAATGGGGACAAGACTAAGACCTAAAGCTAAAGAACAAATGAAGGAGAGACACCATGTCACGTTCAAAGGTTCCCAACCAGCATAAGATCCTATCAGTGTTCTGAGCATGTCTGGGTCCCCTACTTGCACCTGTCAATAGCATGTCTGTCTTCTAGCCCTCCCTCAGGTGCTCTAAGCAAGAGGCAGGGATGAGTCGTAGAAAGCAGCCTCAATTCCCAGATTCTGATCATGTTTCTTTGATTCCCACAGGTCCCTAAATCCCCATCATCATGAACTGGCACATGATCATCCCAGGGCTTATTGTAGTTGTGATCAAAGCTGTTGGAATGACTTTGTTTCTGTGGTATTGTGAGTATTTTGCAAACCCTTTCCCAAGCCTCTTTATTGTTGACTCTACTCAGAATTCAGGGTTGAGTGTAAAGGTTGAACACCCAAGTCCTTCCTCAATGGCATTCTCACATACTAGCAAACACAAGGAGCCAGATTCCATGGTCTTTGATCGCGCTACCCAACGAACCAGTATACAATCTGAACTGAAATGCTTAGCAGGGCTTTTTATTGTTTCTATAATTTGAAATACAGCTCCACTTCAGTAGTAAGACTGATGGGGAGATGAACTATAAGTGGAATATTTAATTGAGGAAAAAAATACACTAACTATTTCATCCAAATGAATTCGTTAGTAAAAGAAACCTCATAGTACGGGATTTACTATAACTTAATAAGTAGAATCTCCTCCAACCCCTGAAGCCAGCAAGGAAAAAAATGAGGAAGGAAATGTAAGTAGGCTGCGGCAGTTGAGTAAGCGGTATCTTCCTTATGATCTAATGGATTTTTGCGTAATTCTTTTTTTTTTTTTAACACAGGATCTCATTATATAGCCCTGGCTTACCTGGCACACATTATATAGATCAGGCTGGCCTTGAATTCACAGAAATTCCCCTGTCTCTGCCTACCTAGTGCTGGGATTAAAGGCATGAGTCACCAGACCCAGCATGATGGCATCATAAACCAAGACACAGCTTCTTTGGGACTTTAAAGATTTTTTTTCATTTTTTTATTGAATTCTTGCAAATTTCAAACAATGTACCCCACTTAATACCCCCCACCAATTTAATATGCTCTAATTACTCTAATATATATACATATATATTTAATGGCTTATCAAGTCAAATTTATGTCTCCATATGCTGTTTGGCATGGGTCCACCCTCTAGAGCCTGGTTTTACTACCCAGCATCACACCCCTAAAGAAAACAGACTCTCCCTCTCAGCAGCTACTGGTTGCCAGTAGTTCCTCAGCTAGGGTTGGGGTTTCTTACCCACGTCCCCATTTCTATGCTGGAATTTTGTCTGGTTTGAGCTTATGTGGGTCTTGCGCATACTGTAAGTTCATATGACTAACTTCTCAGCTGTCTGGGAAACTCTTGTGATCATCCACCACCTCTGGGTCTTACAGTTTTCCAGCCTCCTCTTCTGAAATGATCTCTGAGCCTTGAAAGGCAGAAGTTTGATATAGGTGTCCTATTCAGAGATGAGCACAAGGTAGCCTCTTATTCTCTGTACATTAACAAGTTGTAGGCCTCTTTATTAATCACCATCTGCTGCTGAAAAAGCTTCTCTGGTGAGAGTTGAGAGATGCATTAATCTTAATCTATGAGTGTAATAATAAGTCATTAAGAGTTGGTTTAATACTGTGTCCATTTAGTAGAATAATAGTAGTAGGTTTTCCTCTGTGGCCTGTGACCTGCCTAGTAAAAAGTCCTAGGCTTGATATCAGTGTTAGGTATGGATTGCATTTTGTAATGCAGACCTTAAATCAAACAGAAAGTAGAGGTTACTCCCATAACATTCATGCCACTATTGTACCAATGGACATTTCTTGTCAGGCCAGTTGCTATAGCTCCCAGGATTCACGGCTAGGCAAAGTTGATGATTATTTTTCTCTTCTGGTAGAATACATAGAAACTTCCAGCACTATGAAAGCTGATCAGTAGAAATGAAGCTCTGTGGTCAGCACCAGCTTGATTTCTCTTTGTTCATTCTAGAGCTCATATATGTAATGTCTTCAGCAATGGGGTCTTATTGCTAAGTTCTGGTGGGTAATCAAAGCAGATACAATGACCAGTATTGTTTGAGGTTCCCACAGTGGGACCCTGGTCAACAGTTCCAAAAGAAGGAATGCATTACTGGCATTTGGGCTTTTTCTGTAATAGCCTATAGTGTCTGAAAGGTGAAATTTCTCCTTCTTATAGGATAACTTCTTTTAAACTCTTGTTGTATATCTATATACTTTAAGACAATTCTATAGTAGTAGGTTTCCATATGACTTTTTCTAAAGGTCTTTAAAAGTTATGCTTCCCCATATTCCCTCCTCTGTCGTACCCGCTCATTTCCCACCCTATTTAACCCTTCCTACTCCATTATTCCCCTTTCCCTGCCCATAAAGGATCTCCCACATATCTGGATACTAGTTTCTTGACTTCTATGGATTTTCCAGTTGAAAAACACACAACTAAGGATTTGAAGCTAGTATCCACTCATGAGAGAGAACATGTAACATTTGTCTTTCTGGGTCTGAGTTACCTCACTCAGGATGATTGTTCCCACTTCCATCCATTTACCTGAAAATTTCATAATTTGTTTTTGCTTTGTAATAGCTGAATAAGATTCCATGGTATAAAAGTACTATACTTCATTAGCCATTCATCAGTTGATGGACATCCCAGTGATAAGGATCTAATTTCATTTGTCTACAAGTTGCTATCCAGTTTGACCATCACCATTTGTTGAAAATGCTGTCTTTATTTCCAATGGGTGTTTTGGCCCTTTTGTCAAAAATCAGGTGACTATTAGAGTATGAACTTAAATCTGAGTCCTCAGTTCTCTTCCATATCAATGTGTTTGGTTTTATGCCAATACTATACAATTTTTATTACTATTGCTCTGAAGTATAATTTGAAATCAGGGATGGTGATAACTCTAGCATTTTGTTTATTGTTTGGGATTATTTTAGCTATCCTGGTATTCTTGTGTTTTCAGATGAAATTTGAAGTCATTTTTTTCAATTTCTGTGAAGAATTGTGTTGGAATTTTAAATGGGAATTGCATTGACTATGTAGATTGTTTTTGACAGGATGGTCATTTTCATGATGTTAATCCTACTGATCTATGAGCATGGGAGCTCTTTCCATGAATGTCTTAAAGTCTTTATTATACAAATCCTTCACGTCATTAGATTTACTCCAAAATATGCTGTTTTGTGAGGCTATTGTGAATGGTATCATTTCCATGATTTCTCTCAGTATGTTTACTGTTTGTTGATTTATAGGAAAACTGCTTTTTATGTTTATTTTCTATCCTATGGCTTTGCTAAATATGTTTATCAACTCTAGGAGTTTTCTGGTGGAGTCTTTATGTATAGAATCATATCATCTGCAAGTAACAATACTTTGACTTCTTCCTTTCCAATTTGTATCCCTTTATCTCTATCGTTTGTCTTACTGCTCTAGCTAAGATTTGAAATACTGTTCAAACAGAAATGAAGACAGTGGACATCCCTGTCTTGTTCCTGATTTTAATGAGCATGTTTTGAGTTTTTCTCCATTTAGTATATGTTGGCTTGTGGGCTTGTTTCATACTGCCTTTATTATATTGAGATATGTTGCCTGTATCCCTAGATTCTTCATTACTTTTATCATTAAGGAATGATGGATTCTGTTAAAGGAATTTTTGGCACTTAATGAGATAATCAAGTGTTTTCTGTCCTTGAGTCTGTTTGTGTGGAGGATTATATTTATTGATTTATGTCTGTTGAACCTTCCTGTATCTTGGAGATGAAGCAGACTTGATCATAACGGATAATCTTTTTTACCTGTTCTTGCACTCACTTTGCAAGTACTTCATTGAGAATTTTTGTATGTACGGTCACAACAGAGATTGGCATATAATTTTCTTTTTTATTAAGTCTTTGACTGGTCTTGGTATCAGAATAACACTAGCTTCATAGAAAGAACTTAGGAATGTCCCTTGCTTGCCTATAGACATAATAATTTGAGGAATATTGGTATCAGTTCTTCTTTGAAGGTCTGATAGAATTCTATGCTGAATTCATCTGGTCCTGGGCTCTTTTCAGTTGGGATATTTTTAATTACTCCATCTACCTTGTTGGTTGTTATGAGTCTGTTTAAGTTATTTACGCCATTTTGATTTAACTTTGGCAGGCCATACATATCTAGAAATATCCATTTCTTTTATATTTTCCAGTTTAGTGGAATATACATTTTCAAATATAGCCTATGATTTCCTTAATATCTTCAGACTCTGTTGTAATGTTTCCCTTTTCATCACTGAGTTTATTAATCTGGAGTCTCTGTCTCTTTCTTTTGATTAATTTGACTAAGGGTTTGTCAACCTTGCTAATCTTTTAAAAGAACAAACTTTGTTTCATTGATATTTTGTATTGTTTATTTTCTATTTCATTAATTTTATTTTTATTTTATTTATTATTTTTATTTTATGTGTATGAGTGTATTCCCTGCATGTATGTGAGTGCACCTGTGTCCTGCAATGCCCGTGAAGGTCAGAGGGTGTTGGATCCCCTGGAATTGGAATTATAGATGGTTGTTGACCAACATGTGAGTGCTGGGAATCAAACCCAGGTCCTCTGCAAGAGCAGCCAGTGCTCTTAACTGCTGAGCCATTTCTTCAACCCCATTCTTATTTCATTAATTTTAGTCATGATTTTATTTATCCCTTCCCATCTACTCTTTTTTAAATATTTTATTCATTTTTTTATGTGTATGCATGTATTCACAATGCCCTTAGAGGAGAGAAGAGACTGTCAGATCCCCTGGAACTGGAGTTACGGACAACTGTTAGCTGCCATGTGGGTGCTGAGATTCGAACCTGGGTCTTCTGCAAGAATAGTCAGTGTTCTTTATCACTGAGCCATCTCTCCAGCCCCCCCATCTACTCTTCTTAAGTGTTGTTTGTTCTTGGTTTTCCAAGGCCTTAAAGTATATCATTAATTTACTTATATTAGATGTCCCTAATTTTCTGATGTAGGCACTTAGTGAAATAAATTTTCCTCTTAGGACAGCCTTTCTTGTGTCCCGTAGATTTCAGTATGTTGTTTTCATTTTCATTAAATTCTAGGAATGTTTTAATTTCTTTCTTGATTTCTATTTTGATTTAATTTTCATTCAGTAGCATGTTGTTTAGTTTCCATGACTTTGTGTACTTTTCCCTGTTTGTATTGTTGTTTATATCTAGCTTTATTCCTTTGGGGTCAGATAGACTATAGGATGATATTCCAATTTTTCTAAACTTGTGGAGACTTGTTTTGTGACCTAATATGTGGTCACTTTTGGAGAATGTTCCATGGGCTACTGAGAAGAAAATGTAATCTTTGGTGTTTGGGGGGAATATTCTATAATGTCTGTTAGCTCCATTTGCTTTATGATGTCATTTACTTCAAGGTTCTCTATTTAGTTTTTATCTGACTGACATATTGGTAGCAGTGGGGTATTGAATTCATCCACTATTTTCATGTTGGAGTCAGTGTGTGATTTTAGATCTTGTAGAGTTTCTTTTGTGAAATTGGGTGCCCCTATGTTTGGTGCATGTATGTTTAAGACTGTGATATTCTCTTGATGTATTTTTCCTTTAATGAGTATCAAGTGACCTTCCCTATCTCTTCTGACTAGTTTTAGTTTGAAGTCTATTTTGGCAGATATTATAATAGCTACAACTGCTTGTTTCTTAGTTCTATTTAATTGGAATATCTTTTTCCATCCTTTTACCATAAGGCAGTGTTGATCATTGAAAGTGAGGTGTGATTCTTGGAGGGACTTAATCAATGGATCCAATTTTCTAATCCAATCAGTTAGTCTGTGTCTTTTTAGTGGGGAATTGAGACCATTATAGTGAAACTTATCATTGACCAAATATTTATCAAGTCCTGTTTTGTTGGTGCTGCACTGTTGTTTTCTTGGACCTCTTTGGGGTAACTCTTCTGGAATTGTTTGTTCTTTGTATCCATCTGAGAGGATTTAATCTTCTCTTCAGTTGAAAGTATTCCATCAAGCATTCCTGTAGAATTCACTTTGTGAACATAAATTCCTTAAAGCTCTTTTTACCATGGAAATTTTTCCTTCTCCTTTGATTACAACTGATAGTTTCACTGGGCATAGTAGTCTGGGCTGGAATCTGTTCTTTCATGACTTGGAGGACATCCTATAAGTCATGAAACAACACACATATATATATATATACATATATATATATATTCCATGTATATATGTGTGTATGAGTGCTTTGCCTACATGTATGTATGTGCACCATGATCATGTCTGGTGCCCACAGAGGCTAGAAGAGGACATCAGATCCCCCCTGGAGTTACAGATGGTTGTGAGCCACATATTGGGAACTGAACCTGGGTCCTCTGCAAGAGCAGCAGATGTTCTTAATCACTGAGCCATCTCTCCAGCCTACCCCTTGTGATCCATTTAATATGTAATTATTATCATAAGAGCAGAAAATAAATATGGGAGTGAGTAAGTGAAAACACTCTAAAAACATATACCTCCACTGAGTCAGAGAACTCAGTGCTTCCCCTGTGGTTACAGTGCCCTGGAATACCCTGTGGCTTATTTGCTAAATTCATTTGCAGCCACATTTGGACTAAGTTACTAGCTGATTTTCTTTGCAGTCCCACAGGTTTTTGGCAAAAAAAATGATGGCTTCAAACCCACAGAGAACTACGGAACTGATGATATGCAGAATGGTAATCTCTCTCCCATCCAGCTTATATGTGGTGAATTCTTAGAGACACTCCTTAAGGCCTCATCTTCCCTGGACTCTTGTATACAAACAATTCACAAAGTTCTTCTAATAATCTCCCTTTTACACATGTGGAAACCAAGATCAAACTCATTGATATTTCTTTGTCTCTGTTTTTTCTCCCTCACTATTACTAGGGATCAAGTCTAGGGTTTTGCTCATGCAAAGTACAAACTCTGGTACTGAGTTACATCCACAGCCCCTACATAAAATTTATGGTCTTCAGTTTTCCTCCTGGACTTCAGAATGATTTGTAGAGTTACATCCACAGCCCCTACATAAAATTTATGGTCTTCAGTTTTCCTCCTCACTGGGAGTACTGCAATGCAATGTGAATGTGTTTCATGGACTCTTACAAGAAATGGTTATAAAGAAACCATATTCCAGGCTTGAAAGTTGGAATTTATTTGGTAAAGCATCTGTCCAACAAGTCTGAGGACCAGACCTTGAGTCACCAGCACCCACATGAAAGCCTCGTGTTATAGTGTTTGCCTGTGACCTCAGCTCTGTCAGACAGAGGCTGAGAGAGGCCAGCCTAGCTGAATCATGAACCCCAGGTTCAGGGAGAGACCCTGTCTCAACAAATAAGGTGGAGAGTGATTGAGGAAGGCACCCCACGTCAACCTCTGGCCTCTTCACACATTTGCACACAGTGCATAGACACCCTCATACACATGTATACCTACCCTAACACATTCACACAACAGAGAGAGAGAGAGAGAGAGACAGAGAGGTCTGTCTTTAAAAAAAAAAACAAAACAGAGCCAAATGTATTGGTTCACCTATAATCCCAGCACTTTGGGGGGGGGGGGGGGGGGGGGAGGAGGAGAGGAAGCTGTGACCCACAAAAATGACAATATCAGGCACCTTTGATGTGCCAAACATTATGCTAGACCAATCATAGGAGAAGAATAAAAACAAGAGAGTAACCAAGCCTCATCTACAAAGCATAAAGCACAATGCCAGGAGTCCCAGGGGCAGAGGGTATGCTCTTCCACTAAGCTCACCACTTCTTGAAGCTTTTTTCAGGAACTTCCTGTCACTTCCTCTTAAGATATGGGTTACTATTGAGATCTTTAGAGAAAGGCAATTTCTCATTCATCAGTGCATCATCTGAAGTACCCAATACAGTGATTTATACAGAGAAAATACTAAAGGAATACATTAGCTTCTTCAGTTATACTCTCAAAGTAGTTTCAGATCTTAAAAACCAAATTATTACAATATTTACAAAGTCTCTGAGCTGGAGAATAAAATAAAAAGTGAATAGTGATATTCATTTCATTAATATTTCACTTGGCTTCTTGATATTTGGATAAACCAAAGTAGTTTTTAACTATAAACAGCAAATAACTAGAGCCCCTGAGGGGAAATTTCATCAGCCATTGCGGCTGCCTGTTCATACAGCCAGTATTCCCAGGAAAAATGAGTCTTTTATAGGTCTATCACTTCCCATATTTAAATTTAAAGAAATAAACAGCTCCTTCTCTTTTTATAAAATCTCTGGGATGTTCACCTGCCTCCTTATCTGCTACAACTGCCTGAATCCTAAGTCTTGTTCTCATCAGTCACAATCCTTAATGCTGAGGTATCCTAATGAGAAAAGCATCTAAGAGATTCCCAGGGTTACAGTTTTTCATCGAGGATCTGGGGACACCATCAGTAAAGGCAATAGCAAAAATGCTGTGTGGAGCCTGGAGTAAAGTGCTACATAGAGCTCTTAGGGGATAACAGGGTCAAGGGTGTATATGAGAAGGTAGTAAGAGTTTCCTGGAATTCTAAGCTCCTCCATTACTCCTCTTTCTCTTGATCATTTTCCTCTCCTCAGCATCTCACATCTATTACAAAAGCGGGGTTGGGGGGGGGGACACAAAGTAGAATTTGAGTCTTAAACATGATGAATCCTGGTAATAATTAGATGACATTTTCAAAGAAAGAAAATATTTGAAAATTCTAGTTTGGAGTGGCCAAGGCCTTTGTCACTGGCATAACATCTCTCTTTTCCCTCACTCTCATTCTCCCTCTTTCCACCATCCCTCCCTTCCCGGATATCTTCAGCCTGTCCCAGACACTGAGGCACCATGGGAGAAGGGTGGTTTTTCTTGTTGACTTCTGAATCATTTAGAACAGCAGGATGTTTAGAGACAGACAGGGCTCAGCAGCCCAAACCCCAGTGACCGTGTTATGTTCACCATATAGTAACCGTCAGGTCTTTTCATTTCAGTCTCACAGATTTTTGAGAGAAATAATGAAATCACCATTCCTACACGGAGTTACAGAACAGATAAAGTGCATGACTGTAAGCTCTTCTCGTGGACTTTGCCCATTACCTCTTTGCTTATGGAACTTTTTTGCTCAAGGGGGCCATGAAGAACTTCCAATCCATTCCTTTCGTGTTATGAACAGGAAAACAGACCACATTGGGTAGAATTTCTTCTTGGATTGAGAACAATTGTATCAATAGTTACAAAGAAACTCATGCCCCATTATTTTATGACTCAATTCTAGGGTTCACATTCTAAGCCACTAATCCCATGTATTCATTCTTTCTCTGTCTCTGTCTCCTCTGCCCCTTAATTGCTTTCAGGCTGTCCCAAAGACTGGTATTTCCATCAAGGAAGATGTTTTTTCTTCTCCTCCTCTGAATCATCTTGGAACAACAGCAGGAATGATTGTGTAGCAAAAGGATCCACACTGGCAATTGTTGACATACCAGAGAAACTGGTAAGAGCGTAAGAATGGTATAAAAAGGCAGTCTGCCTCACAGCAACCCCAGTGGGTGGAAGTCATGGGACAATTCATTGAAGTGGGGCAGGATGAGGGTGAGGAATAGAGCCCGGGCTAGAAAGTTCATGCTCCTTATTCTGAACCTGAGATTGGAATGTACTTCATCCTCATGTTACATAGAGATCAAGATTCTGTTGCCTTTCCCCCAAAATCACAGCACTGAGCTAATATCCTAGGCATGGACCAAGGTATTTAAAGTACAAAGAATGACCAAAGAACTGATGCATGTAAAAGTTGCTTAAGGGCCAAGGAGATGGTTCTGTGGATAAATATGCTTGCGACCAAGCCTTATGACCTGAGTTCAGTCCCAGAGACCCATTGGTAGAAGTGGAGAACTAATTTCCAGAGGTTATCCTGTGATTGCCACATAAAGCGCATAGCTCCTATGTGCACACACATGCACATACACATACATGTAAACAAGCAAAATAAATAAATGTAATATGGACCAGTGACATGGCTTAGCAGGTAACAGTCCCTGCTGCCAAGTCCAATGGCCTGAGTTTGATCCCTGGGATCCACATGGTGGAAAAAGACAACCAATTCCTAGACATTGTCCTCTGACCTCCATGAATGGCATGTGCCTACCCACACATATAAACACATACACATAAGCACACATACAGACACAAAAGATAAATGAATGTCAAATGTAATTTTTAAAAATTAAAGTTGAGCCAGTAGTGGTGGCACACACTGGTAGGATACGCTGAAGAGGCAGAGGCAGGAGGATCTAGAGTTCGAGGCCAGCTTGGGCTACACATTTTTTGCCGGGTGTGGTGGCACAAGCCTTTAGTCCCAGCACTTGGGAGGCAGAGGCAGGCATATCTCTGTGAGTTTGAGGCCAGCCTGGTCTACATAGTGAGTTCCAGGACAGCTGGGGCTACAGGGGGACCCTGTCTCAAAAAAAAAAATTAAAGTTGGATAAAGAGTACAGAACATCTTATAGATGTGAGCTGTTCATATATCTTCCCAGTGTATATATGAAAAGAGGAAGGTATGGGTTACTATAAGATATTATTGAATCACTTCAGTGTACAAAGCAAAAAAAAATATGAATTAGTAATATTGGTAAACAGTCAGATAATAGAGTTTGTAGTTTACACTTGTGACAATAAATAGATTAATACTATGTGAAAGCTTTTTATTACGGTTTTTTACTTTGTGATAATCCTGAGGACATATTATTACACATATTTTATAAATGAAATCAGAGCAAAGTAATTTCTTATCTGTGTGTGTATGATGTGCATATATGTGTGTATATATGTGTGTGTTCATGTGTGTAAATGTGGGCACATGTGCCATGGCATACATGTAGAGGTCAGAGGGGAACCCCAGGTCCCCGTCCTCACCTCCCACCTTGTCTGAGGAAGGCTCTCTTGCTGTTCACCACTGTGTATGCCAGGTTAGCTGCTCCCCTCCCCCAAGCTTCCAGGGATTCTCCTGTCTCTACCCACCATCTTGCCACAAAGGTGTTGGGAATTACAGAAGAGTGCTACCACATCCAACTTTCACATGTCTTCTGGGGATCTGACCTCATGTCTTTACGCTTGTGTAGAAAATGTTTTACCCACTGATCTGTCTCCCCAGCCCCAAAGTAATTTGATCGAGATCGTGTACCTAAATAATAGACCATGAAATTGAATTCGGATCACTAAAACTCCAAAACCTATGCTTTTATAGGTTTTAGATTGTGTTTACTCTATTTGTAGCTGCCTCTCCTTCAACTCTAAGCATTTGCTGAGAGCTACACACCACACTGTACACCATTCTCGTTTCTCTTCTCTATCCCTTCACTCCTCCAAAAAGGAGGCCTTTATAAGACAGCCTCCTTCTCTGAACAGATGATCAAGAAAGGGCAGAGATCAGGATGCTACAAATTCCTTAAGCACCCAAGTGGAAAAGAAAGATGCCTTCAGGTAGAAAATCAAGAGCAAGACAGAAGGCAGAAAAGAGGAAACCAATGGTGCAGAAAAGACGAGAATGAGAGGAACTGAAGTCCCCTTTCCTCTCCTAAATTTAAGCTTCTGTGTATCCAATTTCCACACTCCCATTCACAACTCACATTCCATATTAACCAGAAAAAGATCAAAACATTGATGATATGCTGATGACTCTCAACATGCTTTATCACTTGACTCAACTTAATTTGGAATATAAAATTTCTGGCAATGATAAAAATCCTACAAAGTGAAGCACGCCAAATATAAATGATGCATTTGAAATTAGTTGGGTTTGTTTTGTTTTTGTTTTTTGTCTTTTTGAGACAGGATCTCCCTGTAGCCCCAGCTGACCTGGAACTCACTATGTAGACCAGGCTGGCCTTGAACTCACAGAGATATGCCTGCCTCTGCCTCCCAAGTGCTGGGATTAAAGGCATGCCCCACCATGCCGGGCCAATGAATTGGTTTTGACTGTGTTCCTACCCCATTTTCTCCAGGTAATACAGTTGTTCACCTGGGCATTTGTTAGGAATGTAAATTATTTGTCCTCTCTATTAGAACTTCTGAACCAGAAGTTTTGGCTAGACCTCCAGGTGGTCTAACTGCCTGCAAAGTTGAGGAACTTCTCTAGGGCTAACAATAAGTGTCAGTGATAGCCACATCTCATCCGTGGCAGCTTTCTTTGTTCACAGAATCAGATCAGTCACCGGCCACTGGCTCAGGGGTGCGACAGTAAAGATCTCACTGTTGAACTGCTTATTTTTGAATTTATAGAAGTATCTTCAGGACATAGCTGATGCTGAGAGGCATTTTATTGGCTTAATACGTCAGCCTGCAGAGAAAAAGTGGCGCTGGATCAACAACTCTGTGTTCAATGGCAAGTACGTGAACTTCTTGCATTTTTCTGGAAATCTTGGTTTACACAAGAAGACTAAACCTGAGATTCATTATGGTTTAGCTCAAAGGCTTAGACCGGACTCTTTGTTCCATTTTTCTAATTTATTCCAACACATTTAGCTCCTATTTACTACAAATTTTTCATTATGGGAAATAGCAAACATTCTACATAATACAAAATAGAAGAGAGTATATAATTATTTTGCTCAAAAAAATTCACATGCATAGCAGTTGTTCCTGTAACTCTTAGGTCACTAAACTACAGATCACATTTTCTTGCTAAGTGAATATGTACTTCCCCAGATGGAGTTCCTTTATTTAAAGAAAGTTTGTTAAAAGCAATTTATCTCTACCTTAACTCCCAAGAGCTATCTCAGTCCATCAATCCATAAAGATAAACTTTGGAGGAGAATGTAACACTGTCAGTTTTTATATGAAAATGCTTAGTTAAACAAGGAAAGAGTAGGTCCTCAGCCTGCAACTGGGTTTCCTTACAAAGGGGATAAAATTAATGTCAATTCAGTGTCTACTAACTGTCAGGCATTATACTATGCTAAGCACTGACACAGATTATTTTCCAAGGTATTTACCACAATGCTATAGAGAAAACTTTATTACTCCCTAACAGTTGACTTGAGCACAAGAAAGGTTGGAAATGCTTTGAATTCACATAGCTATAGGGTAGAGACACAATTAGATTCCATAGTCTCCTGAGCCCAAATCTCATGCAACTTATTAATGAAATGAGACTCTACAGTCAGACTTTGAGGGTCTGAAAGACAGAAAAGAAAGTGGGAGAAAACTAACAGCTTTCCCTCATCAGGTTTTTCCTAAACCCACTTGAGTCCAGGAAAAGATAAATAAACTCTCTCTCTTCCTACTTTGGGCCTTCCTGATAAACATGCATATAATACTAAAATACGATTTCTGGGGGGAAAGTGACAGTATATGAGATATTTCAGGCCTAAGATATGAGTGAGGTGGGCCAAGACTCTTGGAATGCATTAATGTTCACAGGAGAGTTGAGAGAAGCAGTGGGCATAATAGAGCTGGATTGGAGAAGATGTATTGAGAAGACGGGCCTAAGTTGGGATGGAAGGCCCATGCAGAGGAGGGTGTGCAGCCTCATAAGCTTGCTTCCCCTCCATACACAGCTCTAATGAAACGCTCGCTCTACAGTCAAAGTCAAACCAGGAGCCTTAACCACACTTTCTCTTCTCATTTAGCATTGCCAATCAGAATCAGAACTTCAACTGCGTCACCATAGGCCTAACAACGACATTTGATGCAGCATCATGTGACGTCAGCTACCGCTGGATCTGCGAGAGGACTTTCAAGTGATCACAGGTCTCTGCAACAAGAGAAAATATATCTACAGAGACATCAAAAGAGAATAGCTGCAATTGAAACTAGTGCAGGAAACATGGAGCATCAAACACTGTCTTCCACGAGTTGCTGGTGGTGCATCCTAATGTACCCTCGGGGCCAACATACTACTCCTTTCTACAAATAGACTCACACACGACCAGGAAAACTCCCCATTCTGTGCCAGACACTCCCCAGACCACATTTTCTATGGAGAAGGAACTGGATGCTAGTTAACTCCAGTAGACAGGGCCAGCTCTCTGGAGGCATCATATTGATTTGGAAATTATGTCTGTTTCTGTAGAGCTGAGCATTTTGACAGAGCAAGAGGGTTTAGCCAATTGACAGAATCTGCTTCATCCTCAAAGCACATGCCCATGCTATTGAGGAGAAATTGTAAATGGACAGATATGAGCATTGTTTAGGAGTTACTGTGGGTAGAAGAAGGATGAACTCAGCTTCAGGACCTTACCTGTTCCCAAGAGACTCTTGTGGACATGCTCTTCCTTGCAAGCTAAGGAAGCAGAGGCCCTCCTCAGTCTCAATTTTGGCCAGGCTGCATAGGACAGCAATCAGCTCAAAGATCCCTCCAAAGAAAACCAGGCAGTCTGGGCTGGGGTTATAGCTCAGTGGTAGAGACCTTGCTTAATATGCACAAGGCCCTGAGCTGATTTTCCAGTACCTCCAGGAAAAGAGGAAAGGAGAGGATAAGAGAGGAGGGAAGGGGAAAGGAAGGGAGGGGAAGGGAGGAGGAGGAGGAGGAGGAGGAGGAGGACCTGAAGACACACTGGTTAAAATTTTTTGACTTGATATAAAACTCTGTTATACCATATGTAACTCCCTTTCAACCAAAAATTTGTGTGAATGGGGTCCTTTCCATCTCAAGGTCTGAATTTTCTGGTCATGTTTGTTGAATGTATTTTAAGGTTTTGGTATGATAGCCTTTGGGACCTCAATGGTCACAGTATAATCCTTCATTCCATTCTGAGGCCCTGGCCCCAGGTATATATACAGCCCATTGACCCCAAGAAGCATTACACTGACCCACCACTGGTCCAGCCTACCAACAATAGTAAAGAAGGAGGGCATACAAGGGAGCACTGCATGGAGACAGGAGTAGGATAGAGAAGAAAGAACATTCCAAGGACAAGTGGAAAGCAGAAAGGTCTTAGGCACCTTATCTGTTCTTTTTACTCACAAGAAGACCTCAGCTACATACATACCTAAAGTCACAAAACAGAACAAAGATGCACTGGCTGTTTTGAGTAACAAGAATTATAGGGAAGTCTATATAAAGTTACAAGAATTAAAGTCACCTAAATAAGCAACTCATCATTTGCATCTAATAGCAATGTGTACATATATCACTAGTCAAAATACATTGTTATAAATTCCACCATTATAATATCAAATTATTTTTCTAATTTCTAGGTTTTATAATGTGAAGCGCATTATCATATTTACAAGTTTTAAAAATGATATGATACTGGGGTCTGGAGAGATGGCTCAGCGGTTAAGAACACTGGTTGTTCTTGCAGAAGACCCGGATTCGAATTGCAGCACCCACATGGCAGCTGACAACTGTCCATAACTCCAGTTCCAGGGGACCCAACAGCCTCTTCTGACCTCTGCGGGCATTGCACATGGGGTGCAGTTACCTACATGCAGGCAATACACGCATACATATAAAATAATAAATTTTTTTAAAGATATGATACACTATCAATTAGAGCTTGCTTGAAGGAGGCCATCAGAAATAATCTAGTGAATATTGGAACTATGTTAATACTTTGTGGGGTTACAAGTTCTCATTTGTGTTAACACATAGGTGTCACATCTGGTGGGCTGAGCGTGTGGTGAAGAGTCAGCTGGATTCTAACCAAAGTACTAAAATTGAGACAACAAAAAAGAAATCTTAATCCTGTTTTGAAAAAGAGAAGTTACACTACCACACTTCCTATTTTATGACAGACTAGTTGCAGACTTTTGAGGTCAGGAAATGTAGACATCTAGTGATTTCTGTGGTTCAAGTCTGAATTCCCCTAAGATGAAAAGGAACTTCTGTATAGCTTCTAAAAGTAGTCCAGGGGACTGGCGTGAGAAGGAGGGTTTTGAGGAACTATGTGAGCTTTGCTTTAAGTTAATTACTGGGAAAGGGGCTCAAAAAGGGCAGATAAATGTGGTCTTTATTGGGGGTGGTGATAAGACCATTAGAAAGTGGAAATTTAGCAAACCATTTGAGTTAGAGTTTTGACCTTGCTTCTAATATGTTATATGAATCTGTATAGATTTCTCATACTTTCCTGTTCCTCCAGAGGGCTAGGGACGTGTGAGTTATTACCACAATAAGAAATATATTCGCTGGGCATGGTGGCACATGCCTTTAATCCTAGCACTCAGGAAGCAGAGGCAGGGGGATCTCTGTGAGTTCAAGGCCAGCCTGGTCTACATAGTGAGTTCCAGGACAGCTGGGGCTACAGGGAGACTCTGTCTCAAAAAGACAAAAAAGAAAAAAAGAAATATATTCTAAGTCAGTAAGCATGAGTGGGAAAGGATATTAAGCTGAGAAGACTTGTGAAGCCAATGCAAGTTTCATGGAGAAGCTTGATGCCACAAAATCTGATTAAATGGCTGATTGTCAAGTATTCTCCCCTTGGACGTATAAACTGTGCCTCATGACTTGCCACTCTATGACAGAAAGGGGGAAAATCATTACATCTTCCATTTTCATTGGTCAAAGCTTATCCAGTAGACAGACGATCCCCAGAACTTTAAGATGTCCATTTAGGGGCTTGGAGGCCTGTAGGTCTCTTTCTGATGAAACCAGGAGGGGAGTCATAGGGCCATGTGGAGAGGTATACCTACCAGGCATCATAAGAAATATTGCTGCTAGATAATTCTAAGGTTGTTATTAAACATACAAAACAAGTATTTCTGTCATCAACTTGGGAAATTACAGAGAAATGGTCATCACAGTAGGAAGATACTGACCTGAGAGTTGGGATAAAAGAGTTTAGATATGGGGCTGCTCTGGTTTGGGTCCACAGTGGTTCTGTGCATTGGAGTAAGAGTTCTGGATGGGTAGCTTTCTATGATTCTTAGTACCTAGCACATTAATAAGGTAGGTGCTGTTTATCACAGACTTCCTTAGACTGTGATAGCCTCTTCTGCTGAGAATGCTACTTTCTTTCATATCAAACTTTCTAACTTATGACTTAAGGAAAGTGCATGACCACATCAATGTTCACTTAGTCTCTTAATATTCCTAACTTCTATGTTAAGCTCTAGAAATACTTCCAAATTTCCATTTTTATAAAGTACTACAGATCAAACCCAGAACCTTGTACACACTAGCCTTCCTCTCTTCCATGAAGGTACAGCCCCCTCCTTTGTGTGGGGGAATAGGATCTTGCTACATAGTACATGCTGGCCTTGAAATCACTATGTAACTCCAGGATAGTTTCAGACTTGCAGTATTCTTCCCTCTGTCCTATAATGCTAGGATTACAGGTGCATATCAACACTCCAGAACAGCTCCAAATTGCCTTGATTTAACATCAGATCTTAACCAAATAGCTCCTTATCTGGACAAATATGTGTTATTAAGACTTCCTGGTTCTATGATACATATTAAAAGAGGGTGGGAATTTGACTTAATACATCCTGTAAGACAAATCAGAGAAATTCAATTATTTATTTTTGTATGGGAAATTAATATATATTTGGAGAAATATAGAAGGCTGAGATCCCAGCAGACAGCCTGAGAGGGGGGGTTCCAACCTCCGTCAGTGTAGCGGCTCTGACCTCAGCAGACCACCAGAGAGTGCTGAGGTCTGGCCTCCTTCTGGCCTCCCTCAGGCAGATGGCCTGAGACCGCAGGGGACTGCCTGAGAGTCCCCGGATCCTGCCTCCACGTGGTGGTGAGCTTCCCCTAATTGAGCCATACACATGACCCTACCTGGGATTTTGTGGGACCCCTCCCAAGGCCCCAGGGCAGATCTGGCTTTTGTAGGCTAAGGCTGAGATCCTAGCAGATAGCCTGAGAGGGTGGGTTCTAACCTCCATTGGTGTAATGGCTCTGATCTGGGCAGACCACCAGAGACTGCCTAGTTCTGGCCTCCCTCTGGCCTCCCTCTGACAGAGGGCCTGAGAACGCAGGGGACTGCCTGAGAGCACCCAGATCCTGCATCCATGTGGTGAAGGAAGCCTGAGTGTACCCGACTGGAATCTGAATTGGGTTTCTATGGGTACTCTCGAATAGATCTGATCTGAAGCCATCAGTTCCCTCCAAATTAAACCTGAGAGAACTTGAACCCTGTAACAACCAGTATTACATAACCAATAAAGAAAGGATCTAGGCACTCCGATAATACAGAGCATACTTCAATTTAATTCTCATCTCAGAATCATAAACAACAAAAGAAACTCACATGCCAAGATCACAACAAAAGAATAATAAAATGGAAAGCCAAAACACTATGTCCCCACCAAACTCCACCAATCCTATAGAAGAGGTCTACAAGGAGAACCCCCTAGAGATAACCCAGGACATTGAATTTAAAAGAAAAATCATAAACATGATCAAGAAATTAAACGAATTTAAAGAACACACAAACAAAAAAATCAAAAAGCTAAAAGTAGATAGGGATAAACTTCTGAGTGAATTCACAAAAGAGAAACATTGTAGAAAACTCAGGCAGAAATGAAGAAGGAATTACAAAACTCAATAAGCCAACTTGAAACAACAGGGGAAAGCCTCACTGCTAGAATGAATGAAATGGAAAACAGAATATCAACACGGGAGGATAAAGTTGAAGAATTGGACCACTCAAGCAAAGAGTATGGAAAGTTTTAAGAAATACAGGAATGGTATATGCAAGAGGTGTGGGACACCATGAAAAACCAAATCTAAGGATCATAGGAATAGAGGAAGGAGAATTTCAGGTTAATGGTGTTAACCAGATCGTAAATAGGATTGTAAAAGAGAATTTCCCAAAATTAAGGAATGGCATCCCCATACAAATACGGGAAGCACATAGAACACGAAATAGGATCAGAAAAGAAACTTCCCATGACATATCATAGTAAAAACACTAAATGTACAGAACAAAGAGAGAATACTGAAAGCAGCAAAAGAAAAATAATAAATCACATGCAAAGGAAAGTGCATCAGAATTACAGCTGACTTATCAATGCAAACTATGAAAGTTAGAAGAGCCTGGACAAGGTATTTCTAGTTCAACATGATAATAGATGCCAGCCCAGAATAGCCAGCAAAAATGTCTTATATTTGAGGGGGAAAGAAAAATCTTCCATGACACAAATAGCTTGAAAGAATACATCCACAAAACCAGCCCTTCAAAGAATACTTTAAACAATACAGAGAGCAGAGAGAGAAACAACTATAAAAGAAAATAAATACAGGTATAATCGAGGAAACACAAAATTGGACAGAGAACACAAACAGCAATCAAAATGATGACAACCAATACACATCTTTCAATAATAACCTTAAATATCAATGGACTGAACTCCCCAGTCAAAAGACACAGGCTTAGTGAATGGATTAAGAATCAAAATCCATCTCTTTGCTGTCTGAAAGAAACCCATCTCACCTTCAAGGACAGGCACTACCTTTAGGTAAAAGGATGTAAAAGAATGTACCAAGCAAATGGCACTAAGAAATAAGCAGGGGTTGCAATTCTATTATCTGACAAAATAGACTTCAAAGTAAAACTAATCAGAAGAGATAAGGAGGGTCACATCATTCTGATCAAAGGAACAGTTAACCAAGAAGATATCACAATCCTTAACACATATGCATCAAACTCTGGTGCACCTAAATTCATAAAAACAACACTACAGGACTTTAAGACACAGATTAACCCCAACTCAATAATATTAGGGGACTTCAATACCCCACTGTCTCCATTAGACAGGCCTAACTGGACAAAGAATAAACAGAGAGATGTCTGAATTAAATGATACCATACATCAAATAGACCTAACAGACATCTTTCGAATACACCATCCAAGCATCAAAGAATACACTTTCTACTCAGCACCCCATGGAACTTTTTCAAAAATTGACAACATACTGGGCCACAAAACAAACCTCAACAAATACAAAAAAATTGAAATAATTCCCTGGATTCTATTGGACCACAATGCAATAAAGCTCAAAATCAACAGGGGACAAAGCCCTAGTCACTACACAAACTCATGGTGATAGAACAACACATTTGTAAACAATGAATGT